ATTTTCATTTGCATCCTTGAGTAACATGTTGAGAATTTTGATAGGATTCTCCGTTAAGCCTTCTGGTAATCCAGCGAAATTGCTACCTCGAAGGATAGAGTGTCAGGCGATGATATTTGAAAGATATTTAGTGAGAATTTTAACGAAACCTTTTCTTGCAGTTTCAAGTAGTGTGATAGGTTGAGTCTTTATGATATCACATTCCCAAGCTATAGGTTTAAGAATTAGAAAGATATGTGTAATTTTCCATTTGTTAGGGATATCACCAATAGTAAAGCACATGCAAATAAGTTGGCAAAGAAGATATTGCAATTTATTGCCAAGATGAGTCAGCATTTAATTAGTAATGCCTGATAGACCTGCAGCCTTATCTTTGGGTAGCTGTCGAAGAATTGCTAGCCATTCGTCAATTGTAGGAAGTTGAAGAAAATTGTTATAGCAACTACTGTTAACGTAATCTTTCAGAAGATACTGATTTATCCAACGTGATGGTATTTGTTGAGACAGAGTATCAGGTAAAGCGAAATTTTGAAAATGATGTTGAGTAGCATCTTTGATCTCATTAGGATTTACGGTGAATCATTTAGTACTTCTTATGAAATCATTAATTAATAAGTGATCCAAGATAATTGTATTTTTCTTCTGGTTGAGAATTGAATCTATCATGGAAGATGTATTATAAAGCAAGTCATCACAACGTTTATCAACTAGTTGTTTAATAGCTGAGATTTTGAGATTGTATGTATCTATTTTTGTCAAGTTTGAAAGCATTTTGTAGGTATTAAGAAAGTTATATTTGACGTCTAGAACAGAATGGTTAGTAAGAATTGGAGGAAAAGAGATGGATGCAAGCTTCATTTTTCCAGTAATTTTTGACATGGTAGATGTTACTTCAGTCTACATTGAACCTTTAGGTCATTTTTTATTTTGGATCAGCTTGAATTTGAAGAGCAAAAAAATTGAGCGAACTTTTCTCGCAGCTAAATATGATTCCAATGATTTATATAACTGTTTATGATCATTATTACGAGAAATCTAACATTGCGGGATGGTATGTTTATTCATAGCACATATAGCAGTTTTGATATTGACTCATAAGGAATTCATATTGTGATATATCGGCGAGAGGTTTTTGAGTCGATCAAAATGATGACAGTTGTAATGAAAGTCAGTGTAATCTGCAAAATCAGCCTATTTGGATGAATCCATCAAACATACAGTAGGTTGGGTACTTGTCATTTGTTTTGAATTAGACGAGATTTAGCCTATAAACGTCTCTATATATCTGCAAAAAAAGCAAAAACGATCTTGTAGTCTGACAAATACAAATCAGAATAGTTTAGAGACAAAACAAAAAGTCTGAGATGAGGTTAGGTAAAGCAAAAATAGTATCAATACGTGAACTTCAGTTGTTAACACAAAATGTGGGTTTGGGTGTATTATAACATAAGTCATAAAGGTCTAAAAAGTTAAGTGTGAAAATTTAGTCATAAAAATCGAATCTCCAATGGGAGGAGGAGCTAAGGTTAGAATAAGACCAGTAATTGTGAAGGTTTGCATTAAAATCTCCTAAAAGGATAGTTTTAAAGTCAGACTTTAGTCCATCTTTGATATGTTTGATAATTGTCTTATGTTGGTTAAGTTACTCTTTTTTCATTCCAAACGTTAATGATGCATATAGATAGATACAAAAGATTCTTAATTTGGTATGGCTAGCTAGGTATAAATCAATATAAATGAACTTATCATCATCCAGAAAGGTTCGTTGAATATAAATGGCCTAGGAACGTTTGACAAGAATACTAACGCTAACATAAATATTAATACAATAAAAGAGTTCTAAAAGACACAAAAATTAGGATCATGTGAATATTGATAAAATTGGTCAGATTTGTAACGGGTTTAAGTAAGACCAATAAAGTCAGTATTGAAATCTATGAAAGTATCATTAATTGAAGTATTTTTAATAATATATTGTAATGAATTAATATTATAGGTAGCAAATAAGAGATTTGGGGTTCCTTTAGAAGTAGCATTACAATTATTAGTGAAACAGTTGGGGGCAGATTATGATTAATATTTGTATTTATATTAGTAGGACTTAAGATCATGATAAAAATAATGAAGAGGGGTGGCGATTATTGTTTGGCTAACTTTGCAGTCAAAAACTGGAGTTGCATTATCATAATATTAAGTTATTGTTGTTGAGTAGTAATAATTCCATTTTGTTCTTCAATAGTAGCTTGTAAATTAATATTAATAGGATGAGGTACATAGGCTTTGCTATCATCCGATGATGTATTAGCAATTTTGGAACGTTTGTTAATGTATAAAATAGGACTATTTTGATGGTTATTAGGGGTGATGGCAGGTTAAGGAGTAATGGGAGTTTGTAGGAATGGTAGGGGAGTCGATTGATTTTTTCTAGTTTGAGAATTCGGGCTTCTAAGTCAGACATAGCCTTTTTCATGCCAGAAAGCATATCTAAAATTTGGTTAAGTTTTTTATTCGTATTATTATTAGAAGGATTATTGATAGAAATGTCTAGGGAGTTATCTTTAGGGCCAGTATTTTTGCCTTTGCCTTTGTCATTATTTAAGGCATTAGTGTAATTTATATTATTCAGACATTTGGAGGCCAATCATTTTTATCATTATTTTTCTTGATAATCAAATTGCAAGAATTAGCAGGTTTGTAACGATTATATAATTTTTGATTGAAAAGAAGGTGTAAGCGAGACCTATTATTATCGGAGGGGTCTTCCTTCATAGTAGGGTAATTTGTGAGCATTTCATAACAATATGCTCAGATAAGCCACATTTGTGATAGCATTTAAGATCAGCTGCACACCACTGAAGTTTTTGTTCACTAAAAGCATAATTGATTTTGATAGTGTCATTATGTGTATCCTCAGATTCAAAATAGAGGATTGCGAAAGGGTGTAACTTGTAGTTGTTGGAATGCAAAATATAATAGCCTTTTGCTTTGGTAGTGATGATGATATCCTGTATGTCACATGCTGTAGTTCTGAAGGAAAGGTTGGTAAGTTTGATATAGATATCATTTCTATATTTCACTTGTTCAGGTATAAGATCAGCAGAGTATATAAACTCTTACACAATTATTGTATAAGTAACATGACTATTGAGAGTAAAATAATTGAATATCATTTGGATCTTTATAGGTAACATAGGCATGCTACCACATGCCTTGTGTTTGCATTTTAACATTCGTAATTTTTCCATATTTAGTAAATACAGAGGTGAAAGAGTCTTGTTTAATATTAAGGTAAATATTTGTGATATGCAGGATACGTTGTTGAAACTGCATATTGTCTTTGTAGTCTTAGTAGTCAATCAGTTAGTCAATTTCCAAATCGAAAAATTTAGGTAGGAGGTAAAGATCATTAACTCCTGATCAGTAAAGTAGATGACCGCAAAATAAATGAAGTTGACGTGGTGGATATTAATGCCTTTGAAAGCATTGTTATGAGCAAAGTGGTTGTTAATGACTTTAATAATTGTTAGAGTGGTGAGTTTTTCATGGTTTTAGAAATAATAGAGGTGCAGGTGAAAGCAGTTGGATGAGTAATAGTGATAAAGTCGCAGGTGTCAGTTTTTATATTTCATCATCTTCGATAGGAACGTACTCGTCTTTATCCAAAACGTTGGGAGGCAAAGTAGGTTTGGTAAAAAGGTATTAGCAACAATAGCTTCGTCAGAGAGTTAGGAATATCTTTTGATAAAGAGGCAATAGTTTCAGATTGCTTGGATTTTGGGTCATAGCAAAAAGTATTTTTGAACTGGTAGTGCGTCTGTTTTTTTGGCCTATTTTTGTTTGTAAAATTTAGTAAAAAATTCTTTTGAAATAATTTTTTTGTGTAGTAGAAACAATAAACTAACAGAGTTGAAAAATATTAAAAGTATTTAAAGCAAAACGTTTTTATTTTCTAAAAAAAAAATTTTTGTATCCAAAAATTTTTGGGAGAGATGAGAAAGAGTTCCATAGAAAAAACCTTTTTTTTTACTTTACTAGGATCTGCCGATAATTACATGATACGTACAGCTCATAAGTAGCTATACGACTTATTTAGATTGAATCACTTTTACCTCCTTTTGACACTTTTAAGTCCAATGTGAGTATGCAAAATCTAGGTACACGATTTTCAAATACCCGAGTAGACTGCCACATTACTAACTTGTGTAAGAGAGCATATGATACCTGTTATCATATATAAAATATACCTAAATAAATTAACAATATAATTTATACCAAAGAGTGAATAATAATATATAAAGAATAATTATTTTAATTTTAAATTATTAATTAATTGATAATTTTAATTTTATTAACAAAAATTACAAAAATTTAAAAATGATTATAAGTAATGCATCATATAGATTTTTTTTCATAATTTAAAATTATAAAAATAATGTTTATTTTTTAAATTTCTTCAATTTGATATTTATATTTAAATGATGCAAACTTTTAAGTATTACTATATATATGTAATTAATTGTAATATATTAATATAAATTTAAATAATAAAAATAAAAATAAAAATATTTAAAAGTATTACATTTTTTATTATTTATAATATTTATAATACTTATTCAGATTTATTTAAATTTTATAATTTGCAATTTTTCAATAAGTTTTATAATTTTTGTTACTGAATTATTAATAAAAATTTTCAAGTTTTTCCTTTTACCATTTAGATAATTTGCTAAACTTTTAGATATTTGAAAAAAAATGCCTTGAGAATTTTTTTATAGTAAAAAATAAGTTTATTAGGTCAACTTAAAGATCTAGCAATAGTAATAGGTAAACATAAAAATTTGATAAGAATAATATGATTGATGATATGGATTATAAAACCTCCATTAGTTTTTTAGATTACAAAATTTTTTGTAAATAACACTTAAAAAAAATCAAATAATAAATATAATCATAAGTAACAATGAAAATTATTTTTTTACACTTAATAAAAAAATAAAAATTTAAGTCATCAGTTTTTGTCTCGCTATCACTTGAGCTTTAGTATATGCTCTTTCATCAGATTTTACAATAATAGCTGGAAAATAACAAATTTCTACTTCGTAATCTTCATAATGCCCTTCCCACATTCCTTCCATATAAACAGGATCGATGTCTTTACCACTTTGATAAAATTCTATTGTGGGGACCGGCTCTTGCGTCTTAAAACGAAAGAGAAAAATTCGAAGAACTTGAATAACAATTGTAGTTAACTCTTTTTTGGTTTTCTCTTCAGATTCTAAAATCCGATATTTATTCATTTCATCCATAAGATCTTTTGCTAATTGAGTAACGAACGGATGATTGGAAAACCCCCTAAAGCCTAGTGCTGCGTAAACATGTTGACGTAATTTAGTTGGTAATAATCGAGAATGCTCATCAGTCCCGGTACGAATCACTTCGAAACGGGTTGTAAGATTAATCAAATCATCTGCTTTGGATAGAATGGCAACCTCCAACTTGTCATCGTTAATATCAGTCGCAAGTGGCTGACTTAAATAATCACTCGCTGATTTTAAAATAAATTTAATTAAATGTTGTTGCAAAACTGCGCTTAAAACCAATTTCATTTGCTTGCTCTCAACACTTGTAGTACAGTTAAACGAAGAAAATAGTTCTTTAACAGCATCCATTTTGATTTCTTTAACTTTACGTTTAACTCCAGTAATTTTATTCAAGTTTCGATTAAGGCTTTCTACCTCCTTCACCAATTGCGATGAGTTGTTTGCGTTATCATCATGCCATTCAACATTAACAACTTCACCTAACGCCGCTCGTAATTTAATATTCTCTTGTTTCAATTTATCAATTTCGTTATTTTCAGCCAAACTCCTTCCTATTTCTTCTAAAGTACTTTTATCTTCGCTCTTTGACTTTTTGCCTGGGTACAGAATTTTTTCGCTTGAAGTGTTATTTTCAGAAAGGATTCCATGTTCTGGATAATCTCGCTTTGATTTAATTGGTTCTCTCCTTACACTTTTAACGTAAGAATATTGTTGCGAATCGTAATTAAATACTTTAATACTTTGATCTTCTTCATGATCTCCGAGCTTTATCAGTAATTCATCATCTTTCTGCAATTCCTTATTATTAAAAAACAATTTGTTTTCTTCTTCCAACCTTTTAATTATTTGACTTTCTTTGCTTTCTGCATTGCCTTCTTGAAGTGGATTATTATTGGCAGTTTCACTTGCTAATACATGTTTTTTAACAATCTTACTATAGCCATATATTCGAGAAACAAAATTGTTTCGTAACATTTGTTTTTGGTGATTTGTCATATGTTTTAAATAATTTTCTGTTTTTTCTCTATTAAAATAATTTGTTTCAAGTCTTTTATTAATAAATAGTCTCACTTTTTCACGTAAGGCTTGATTATTTGATTTTCGACTTTCCCAATATCTATCAATTAGATTTATGTATAAATCTGAATGTTGTGCATGTGGTGCTGAAAATTTAGTTAATACATTGATATCTTCTTTGATAGGATTTATCTGATACGACTCGAATTCATTTACATTATCTTCTTCATTTAAATTTATGTCCTCAAAATCTAATGTCATAATATACAAACATACAATCTCTTCCCACATATACAAGTGCCCAATTGTTCCAAGGATATCCCAACTAGAGTCATTTTGTCGTGTTTGCGACAAGTTGTTTTGTTGAGAAAAATTGGTTGTATAGGTCATCACTTAAGATTTGTCAGATTAACGTTAACAATCGCTGAAAATGGGGGGTTTTTTTTATTATTTTTTTCCCGAGATGTTACACCAGAACTCGAAGTTCTTTAAATATAGTAATTGTTTCCGTAATAAGTAATAGTACAGGTTTTAAACGATTGCCAAGAATATAACGATAATCAAAATTTGTAGTTTTTTTCTTTCATATGAAACATGTCTTTATTGTCGGTATCGTCGGACGAAACTAGTGTAGTTGTTGCCATTGGTATGTAAAATTTATGGAACAATAACATTCAAAAAAAATTTATAAATATAAATATTAAGTTATATTTTATTTTCTTGAAAAGACTTTGGCACAACATTCAGCGGGTTCGCATTTGCGAACAAGGTCAAACCCGAAGATTTCGACCTTAATAACATCAACCTTAATACGATTTGGTAAATTGACAAGTATTAAAAAATAAAGGAAAAAAAAATAAAAATTATCTTGTCGAAAAAGTGTTTTTTTTACAAAGAACTAAAAACTAAAGTTATCAAATTTGATGTCGGTTATAAAACAATTGATATTCTATTTTTATTTTCATTATCATTCATTATCATTATCAAATTTTTTTTTTTTTTTTTTAAAAAAAAATAAATAAATAAATAAATAAACAATAAGGATGGGACGAAAAGGTTTAGCGAAAACGAACACGGCCTTATTATACGTAAATGATGCCTTGCATCAAACAAAATGGGGCGAACAAGCCCTTATTTATGAACCTTCTAAAAAAACTCGAGAGACCGAGATACATTACATAATCGAAAGATTCAAGTTATTCTTGGATGAGGAAGCAAGGAGTGCAGAATTGCCTAAATTGCCAAGAAACTTGGATGCAAAAAAATTTATCGCAGACTATCTTTGCAAGATGAAAGATGTATATATATATATTTTTTTTATTCATGACATTAATATACTTACTGAAAATTATTTTTGTGAAATATTATTATTATAAGGTCATCGAAGAAAATTTAGAAAAACGATGCGGCGGCGTGCCGTTATCACAAGTACTGTTTGTGATGTCCGTTCCAGCAGAATGGGTAATTATTTAAATTAATGAATGATAAAGAAAAACATGTTTTGTGATTGATTTTTACTGATTTGTTGTTTCATTCAAGCCTCCTCGTACCAGAGAAATCTTACGTGATTGTGCGTACAAGGCAGGCTTACTTAGTGAAAATAATAAACAAAATTTGGAATTCACAACTGAACGTAAGATTTCACATTCGTAAACATTCTGTTAATTAGAAAATTTGAATTTAAAAAAAAAAATTTAATGGTTTATGAATTTAAAATAGCCGAAGCAGCAGCAATTTATTGTTTATCATCGATTGACGAACATTTGTCCGTTGGAGGTGAATTTTAAAAAACATCAATTTTTTTTTTACCGTAAATGCATGAATGAAAACCTTAATTTTGTCATCGTAATCAGATACGTTCCTTGTTGTGGACTGTGGAGGTGGAACGGTTGATTTAACGGTTAGAACACTGAAACCGGATAACACGTTAGAAGAAGAGACTGTTAGGTCAGGTGGTCTCTGTGGTTCGACATGTATAGACCAAGAATTTGTCAAATTTTTGGGACGCATAGTTGGTCAAAGAGCTCTAGCCGAATTCAAAAGAGAGAATTATGGAAACTTGCAAAAGCTTATATATAAATTCTTTTGTCCGGAAATTAAGTTACCATTTACTGGTGATCCAGAAAAACACGAGAACATCGAATTAGACTTGGAGAAGAATTGTCCGGCCTTGATGAATTTTGTTTGTTCAGAAGCAAAGGAAAGGCTTGAAGAAGATGATTGGGTCATCGATTTTGATTTCGAAGACGTGAAAAAAATGTTTGATCCGACAGTTTCTAAAATCATTGATTTGATCAATGCTCAACTAGAATGCCTTCCAAAGAATAAGATCAAGGTGATGTTTTTGGTAGGAGGGTTCTCCGAATCAACATATTTGTATAAACGTATCAAAAGTGCCTTGATACATCTTGTACCCAAGATAATAGTTCCTAAACACCCAATAGCAGCTATCGTAAAAGGTATTTAATAATTTCTTCTCTTTGAAACGTTTAATATAATAATTCTTAGGTATTCCTCCTTCATTTTTATTTCTCAAGGTGCTTGTTATTATGGGCTAAACAAGAGTGTTATTAAAGTAAGAGCCCTTAAATGGACGTATGGTATAGAGGTCAATGACGAATACAATCCCCATCACGACCCTAAGGAACTTCAGTATGTCATCATTTGAATTTATTTTGGAATTATAATCTAAACGAGACAATATTTAAACCAATTATTTTTTATTTATAATATGAAAGGATTAAAGGCGATAGAATCTTGAGATTTGACCCTTTAGCTTCTGTAGGAGAGAAGCTTAGAATCAATGATGAGCGTTCTAAAGAATATAAACCTCTTCGAAAAGAACAGTTGACCTGTACTTTGAAACTATTATTCACAAGATTACAGAATCCTAGATATTCGAATGAAAAAGGTGTACACACACTTGGGCAAATATCTATTAAATTTCCTCATAACAGTTCTGGCCAAGATCGGCCGATAAAATTATTTTTAAAGTTTGCGGAAGAGGAACTAAACGCAACAGCACGTAATGTGATCACGAATGAAGTGTACCATGCTACATTCGTTTATCCCATCGAGGGTTAAAAAAAATATATATCTACTATATATTATTATTATTTTTCGAACATTTTTTTTCCTCCCTTTTTTAGTAGTTTTTTTTTGATCATTAGTATATCAATTTTTTTTTTTTTTTTTTTTTTTTTGGTTCAAGATAAATAAACTTCCCTCACTATATCAAATAATTGTAATCTTCAAAAGTAAATAATATAAGTACTCTTAATTTTCTTTTTTTTTCTGACGATCACTTGAGTTCAGTAAACACACTCTCTTCTTCTTCAATTGAGGTCACAACAGCAAGAAATGAACAAATTTCTACTTCTAATTCTTCAACATCCTCATCATCTTGTCCAATCCGTCCCATTGCTTCCATAACGCCAGGATCATAACCGCCATTTTAAAGAATCGAATTGAAGGAATTGGTTCCTGTGTAGAAAAACGAAAATAAAAAATATTAAATATGTGCAGCATCCAATTTATTTTTCTCGTTTTTTCTTTAGAGATTATAATCCTATAATCCTATACTGTGCCATATAGCTTAATTTCTCGCGAAATCATCGGATGATTTGATTTAAATGCGTTGACCAATATAGCGTAATTTGATGGGCAATAATTGAGTATGTACTGTACATCGCTTCCAGCATTTGTCTCGGTAAAGTATTCATCCGCGGATTTCAAGATAAAATTAATCAAATATTGTTGTAAAGCCGCATCTAAAACTAATTTCATATTTGTATATTGACTGAGGTTTCACATTGATAGATTTTGAAAAGTTCATTTGCATTATCTCAACCTTAACCGTGGTAAAATTTAGCAAATCCCTTTGAAGTTTTTCAACATTATCATGCCATCCGACATTCATTATTCCACCTAATTTTGCTTGTATCAAGAAGATTCCAATCGTAAAGCTTCATTTTCTTGTTGAAATTTTTGAACCATTTCGCCTTCATTAATCGTAGATTTGCTGAAGTTCATCTCAAAATTTAAAGGATATATAATCGATAAACTTCAACAACTCTTTTCTAATCTTTCCTCATTTAAATGATCTATAAACTTCGAATATCCATAAAATCATTTAGCAACATGCTTCGTTATATTTATCAAATAGACCAATTATATCTAAAAAACAGTCCTGGTTAATATTATATAATCCAAGTTGTTGACTTATTGATATCATTAGTTCACCACGATTAATCTCCTCGTTCAATTGACCTTGTCCACCAAATAACGGAAAATTATCATTACCATTATGGTAACTTTCATTATTACAGTACCATCCGACATTAAAATTTGTCAATTAGTCGACAAACAAGAACTAATTTCAGTATGGATTGTCGCTCCAGATTAATTTATTAATATCAAAATAAATCTTTTTAATAAAAAAAAAAAACCTTTCCCAGTTCGTTAATCAATACCATTACGATAAATAATCGACACAACTTCAACGTAAGGTTTGATTTCACATTATTTTAGCAAAAATTTCTTTTTTATTAGTTTAGTTGATATATTTATTAAACAATTAATTAATTGATAATAAACATATATATATAAACTTATATAAACGATTAAATTAATTGTAGTATATCTAGTGATTAAATTTAAAGGTTAGATTTTAGGTTAATATATTATAATTATTAAACTTTTACCTTAAAGGTTAAACTTTTTATTTTAATATTTTCTAAAGAATTTGTTATATAAATTGTTCTAATATATTAAAATAAATAATAATTAGAAAATATATTATAAAATAATATACTAAAAGATGGTGTTATAGGCTTTAAAATAATTATTTACTTTTAACAAAATCTAACTTTTGTAAGATTTTTCTTTACATTATTACTGAGAATAATTCTTTTCACATATTCTGCTAAGTTACTTTACTGTAGCAAGTAATTTCCTTATTGTCAGACTTTATAATCTTAGGGAATCTCACATCCTGCAGGTATCTGAAATTTCTTGGAATTATTTTGCTTAACTTTATGAATTTAAAGGTTTAAGGACTTAGGAAAAACTCAAAGAATTTATTTATTCTAAGTGATGAATTCAAAAGTAAGTTAGTGTAGTAGTTAGGGTTCCACAATTTGATTTGATATTTGAATATTCAATTTGAAAATCAAATCAAATACAAATTCAAATTCAATTCAATCAAATTCAATTTAAAGAAAAAATTATTTGATCAAATATGTATTAATCTTTGATTTGATTTGATCAAATACAAATTAATCTTCAAATATTTAATTTGATTTGCAAATTGTATACAAGCATTTTCTACAAATATTTTAATATGGTTGAAGTTAGTGATACCTGCCTAAACTCTTTTTTGAAAAATTATAGTTTTATCAAAAGTTTTGTCTCTTTAATATTTTTATATGAATAAATATAAAATTATTATATTTTTCAATGTATTTTAATTTAAGGAATTTATATCAAGTTAAATATAATTTTGGCAATTAAGTAAAATAATTTTTTCATTGATAAAAAACTAGTCTCGTCATTTCAGTTTCGTCAATTTCGTCATATTAAAAATGGTAATTTCATCAGATATCACTAGTTAAAGCTTTTTATAAATTTAATTTTTAGAGAATACAATTTATTATAATGAGAAAATTATACTAAACTATTTGTTATATTCATTATATGATTATTATTATACTTAAAATTAGTAAAAAAATTTTATTTTATCAAAAATTATTTTTATTAGTAATTAAATTTATTGTTCGTAATATAAAAATAAAAAATAATTAAATGTTCACAATATATATTAAATAATAATAAAAATAATAATAATAAATGTTTGCAAAATTTATATAAATAAGATAAAAAAATAATTAAAAAAAGCAAAATATGAAAATTGTTTATATATATAAGAAAATAAGAAAAAAGTTCGCAAATATATAAAAAGGAAAAAAATGGAAAAATGTTTGTAAATAAATATATATATATAAAAAGAAAGGAAAAAGAGAAATTGTTTGTAAATATATAAAAAAAGAAAAAAAAAGAAAATTGTTTGTAAATATATATATAAAAAAAAGAAGAGTTTACAAATATAAAAAAGGAAAAAAAAGAAAAAAAGATCACAAATATATATATAAAAAAAGAAAGGAAAAAGAAAAATTGGTTGTAAATATATATAAAAAAAGAAAAAAAGAAAAAGTTCACAAATATATAAAAAAGGAAAAAAAGAGAAATAATATTTGCAAATATAATAAAGAAAAAAATGTTCGCAAATTTATAAAAAAAGAAAAAAAAATTGTTTGCAAATACATAAAAAAAAAAAGAAAAAAGATATTTATTTGTAAATTATATATAAAATAAAAATAAAAATAAAAAAAAATTTATAAAATAATAACATTATTATTAACGATGTTATTAATGATGGTAGTAGTGTGTTGGTATTGGTATTATTATTGTTGTTGTCATTGTTATTATTAAGGATGGGTCTGCAAATAGGCAATTGCGGAATAATTGCGATTTACGATATTGCGGACAATTGCAGAAATTAAGGTCCGATTCCGTAATT